AGTCAATATAACTGAATAGCATCATTATTCTGATTGCTATAGCCTATCATTTATCTTTTGTTCTGTTGTTTAATTAAGTTTGCACTTTTGTCTGTTCTCTTTATGTAATAAAGAACTTGTCTTGAAGTTATTATCATGATAAGTTCATGATTTGATGAACGTAGCCAGCATCTCTTCACCTTTTGGAAGAACCCTAAAAGGACGAACTCATGATAAGTTCTTGACTCGTTGGTCTATGTGAATCTGATAGTGATTTTCATGTGTTTCTTTTAGCCACTTCCGGAGACAGTGTCGCTTGTGAAGGACATTGTTGTGGAGTATGTAACGGACTTGGTAAGTTTCCTTTGATTTTCTGATTTTTCTCTCGTTTAAATTGAATGTTAGGTAACATGTTGAAGCTTCCACTTTCCTGCAGGCACATAAAGTTCGGGATATTGGAGCAAAGAGAGGAAGGCTATTAGTTGAGGATTTTCTGTATCAAATCCGCTAGGTACCTTTTGTTCTGACTCTATGTACTTAAATCAGTTCTGTTCATTGCCTTGTTTCCATGGCTACAAGCCTACAAGCTTGTTACTTATCAAATTTTAATTTGAGTTGACAGTGTTGTGCATTGATGAGCTAAATTTATATACATATTAATAGAGAATTTTTACTTTGATTTTATTGATATTTGGATGAGTTTTATAAGATTTTGTTTGATTTTACATGGTTTTCATTCTATGTGTAGGAAATGATTTAATTGGAAGAAATACTACTTTTTAGAAGTAAATTGAAGAGATCAGAGACTTGAGGATCAACTTGTGCAGAATCCAAAAGTCAAGAACCAAATCTGCTATTTTACCATTGAAGAAATTGCAAAAGGAGAGCAGAAACCTGACACGGGTTTAGTGTCGACACATGATCGAGGAGTCGATACCATGCGCTAAACGTCCAAAATCATATTCTGTTTCCTATTTGGTGTCAACACGTAATCCGAAGTGTCAGCACCACGTGATCAGCATCTAAAATTCAGTTTCCTATTTTTATTCCAAGTCCTACTTCTATTTCAATTAGAGTTTCTAAAATCCTATAAATACCCATCTAAATTTAGAATGAAGAGAGCTTTGTGGAGGCTGGTGGCAGCCCTCTTTTGGGCATTCTTGGAGGTCAAGATAGAGAATTCAACAATATGAGATCAAGGATTACAATTTTCTCAAATTAGGTTTTATTCTTCCTTGTTCATAATTATGATTGTAGATTTTATTATTTTTACTATGAACTAATTTATTTTATTAAGGCTATGATGTAGCCTAATCAATTCAATATAGATTTTATGATTTTATATTTTCAATTAAAGTTATTCGCATGAGGAGTTTATATTATTGAACTTAATACATTGGAAGCCTGATCATCTTTCAATTGATTTAGTGATTTATGCATGAACTTGAGAAAGAATTGCATAGATTAGACCAATAATAATATAAACCGTGTGCTAGACTATGAGACCGAGAGGTAATTAGCTCACATGTGGTAGTAGAGGAAGAGAAGAGAGTTAGTAGCTCCCCCTTCTTAAGCTAGAGGTTTCCATAGAATCTAATGCTCATTAGTTTGTTTAAAATTACATAGAGATATGATTAATTTAACAAACCAGTGAAGGACTAACTTGACTTGAGAAAGCTAGTTAATTAATTTAGGGAAATCCGCCATCACATGCAATAACACTCAACAATTTGGTAATCCAGAATTTACATTGATTGATTATGGTGAAATCAATGCCTTAGTACCTCCTATCTTGGTTAGGTTTAATTGTTATTTTCTTTTTATTATTTTTAATTAAAGTTTCTTTCTATTTGATTGTTCAAATAAATTTAGATTAATTATTTCGATACTTAGTTAGACACAATCCTCGTGGGTTCGACACTCTCTCATCATTATATTACTTGGAGCGACTAATACACTTGCTAGGGTGATTTTAGTGCATCATGCATGTTCCTAGCCATTTACTGACATCAATAAATTCTTTAACCCTGAAGGACCTGCCCAAACTTAACCGTTGTACAGAATTGCTTTCAATTCAAGAAGAGCTGAAACAAGCCGAGAAGGCTTTTGAGGTTGATGAGGAGAAATTGGCAACACTAGAGTAGCCCGACTCTCGCCCTACGTAAGAAAAAAGGGGAAAAAGGTGTATGACTGGCTGTATGTAATTGGGTATGCTAGTAATTTTCTATTGTGTAATCAATAATTATGCTGGTTTATAGTAGAAATAAAATTTTAGTTTTAAATTTAGAGAAGTGCTAGCAATATTCTCTTTGAAATTTTCTCCTCTTTTAACTGTGTCATCTAATACATGATACTTAAGTGTTTGGTAATACTTTTCCGTTTTAAATAAGTTATAACTTCTACAACTCATCATCAATCAAATAAATGAGGTTACCATATGTCATGTGCTAGAAGATTGTTTGTTGGTTTTAAATCTAGTTGAGCTTGAACTTGAAAAGTTTGTTTAGCAAGTTCTAGCATTTGTGGAATTTTTATGCAGGTAAAACTTTAACAAAACTGTTAAATTATAAACAGAAAAATTTTCTACAATCCGCTTAACAAGGAAAAGAGTTGAATGCAAAATGACTTAAAAGAGTTTTTTTTTTTTTTTTTTTTTGATCAGCAAAGCAACATACGAAATATATTGGCAAAGGAGCATAAGAAATACTCCCAAAACAGAGTACAATCCGGGGAACTCAAGATACATAGCCAAATTATCCTACATCAATCAAATACTCAAGAGCTCAGAAAAAAAAACACCTTCAGGAAAACTACAGGAGAAGAAAAAAAAAACTAAACTGGTTTCTGCAGCTTATCCCAACCTAAAAACCCAAACAAACCCATACACTTCAGGACCCATACAGCAGACGCATAGGGCAGATTGTGAACCTCCCCTCATTAGCTAGGGGACACAGCAAGCTTAGAGAATTGCTTCCTCATCCTTTTATGCCATTTGACAGACTTTGCACACTCCATCGGACAAGATTGCCAATCATAAAAGGAAAAAACACAACCTTTCACTTTAGCCTTTATCCATAAGAAGGTTTTTACTTGCACCCTTTCTAGCATTTTTTCTGGTATTCCTTCATCCTCTCGAAATACTTGAGAATTCCTTCTATACCATACATACCAAGCAACCACCAGAAAAATACAAGAACCCATCTCCTTTCCTACTATTTTGCCCATCTCATATATGAAGAATTCTGCCACTCCCACCACTGTATTGGGCAGAACACTCTTCAAACCCCACCAATTCAACTTAAAAGAGTTTTTTATTTTGTAGTTTAAGCTTTACCTCGTGTTTTTTGAACCCGTGGATCAATACTCAAAACAATCATTTCTGGCTTTCCGGGTTTGGGTTGTCCAGACCCAGTTCTAGGGAGATGATGTGGTATTAACATTATAAGAAGGTGCGGGAAATAACCCCATCCGTCGGATTGGGTCTTGGGTGTAAAATTTTGTTTATTACTTTATGATACGTAAGTGTTTGAAATGCAAGATAAGATAAGATAAG